AAAAAAAAAAAAAAAAAAAGAACTAGAAAAAGAAAAGCAAACTAAACCTAAACAAGCAGAAGAAAGAAAATAATAAAGATGAAAGGGCAAATAAATGAAATAAAGAATAAAAACCAATAGAGAAAATCAATAAAAGCAAAAGTTGGTTCTTTGAAAGATTAGCAAAATTGATGAACCTTTAACTAGACTAACCAGAAAAAAAGAACAATCAAGTACTAAAACTAGCAATGAAAGAGGGGTTATCACTTCTGACTCTACAGAAATATAAAAAAAGGTTTTAAAGGAATACTCAGAATAATTAGATGAAAGGGATAAATTCCAGAAAGACAAAAACTACCAAAATGGAGTCCAGACGACAGAGAAAACCTGAACCTCTAAGAAGTTAAGTTATTGAATTACAGTTTTAAAAATTTCTCCTCTCACACACACAAAAACCCAGGCCCAAATGTCCTCAGTGTGAATTCTACCAAAAATTTTGAAAATAATTAACACCAATCCTTCACAGACTTCTCCAAAAAATACAGGAGGAGAGAATACTTCCTGACTGATTCTGTAGAGCCAGTGTATTACCCTGATAAAATGGACAAGACAACAACAACACAAGAAAACTCTAGATGAATATCTTTGGTCTATAGTTGTGATGTAAAAATTCTCAACTACTAGAAAATTAAATCTAGTGCATATGAAAAGCATTAAAACCAAGACCAAATGGGATATATGTCAGGAATGCAAGATTGGTTTGACATACGAAAATCAGTGTTGACATCACATTAATGGAATAGAGAACAGAAGTCACATGAATATCTTAATAGACACAGAAAAAGCATTTGACAAAATCTAAGTCCCTTTTATCAGACAAATACTCAACAAACTAGAAATAGAAGAGAACTTCCTCACCTTGATAAAGAGAATCTACAAAAACTACACAGCTAACATCATACTTAATGATGGAAAACTGAAAGCTTGCCCTCTAAGATCAGGAACAAAACAAGAATGTGTTATCTTACTGTTTCTATTTAATATTATACTGGAGGTTCTAAGCAGGATGGTTAGGTAAGAAAAGGAAAAGCATCCAGATTGGAAAGGCAGAAGTAAAATGTTCTCTATTTGTAGATGACATCATATATGTAAAAAAAAATCTTAAGGAATTCACTAAAACACTATTAGAACTAATAAGTGAATTAAGCAAGGTCAAAAAATATAAGATCAGTATAAAGATCAATTGTATTTATATACATTACTAATGAACATTATGGAAATTAAGAAATAAAGCTGAAAAATTAAGAAAACAATTACATTTGCAGTAGCATCAAATAGAATACTCAGAAATAAGGATTTACATAATAAGCAAAAGAAGTGCAAGACTTGCACTCCAAAAACTAAAAAATATTGTGAAAAGTTAAAGACCTAATAAGTGGAAAGACATCTGTGTTTTTGAATTAGAAAACTCACATTGTTAGAATGGTAATACACCCCAAATTCTTTTAGTTTCAGTGCAGTCTCTATGATAATTTCAGCTGCCCCTTTTGTGGAAATTGACAAGCTGACCCTAAAATTCATATGGAAATGCAAGGAATCCATAATAGCCAAAGTAGTATTGAAAAAGAAAAGCAAAATTAGAAAACTCCCCATTCTCAATTTCAAGACTTATTACAAAGCTATAATAATTAGCAGTGTGGTACTGGCATAAGAATAGACATACAGATCAATGGAATAGAATTAAGGGTCTAAACGTAAACTGTTTCATCCATAGGTACACTGATATTCAAAAAGTGTACCAAGACAATTCCATAATCTTTGCAGCCAGCAGTCTTGGGACAGCCAGATATCCTTACAAAGTATGTAAAAATTAACTTTTTCAAAAGGGTTCAAAGACCTAAATGTAAAAGGTAAAAACAATATAAAACTCTTAGAGGAAAACATAGACTGAAATCTTGTGTTAGGCAGTGGTTTTCTTAGATTGATACCTGAAGTATAAGAAACAAAAGAAAACTATGTAAGTTAGACTACACTAAAATTAAAAACTTTTGTATTTCAAAGGTTACCATCAAGAAAGTGAAAAGACTGCCCACAGAATGGGAGAAAATATTTGCAAATCATGTATCTGATAAGGAACTTGTATGCAGCATATATAAAGAACCCTTACAACTCAACAATAAAAACCCAATTAAAACTGGTCAAAGAAATTGAATAGACATTTTTCCAAAGAAGATCTGCAAATTGCCAATGAGCACATGAAAAGATACTCAGCATTGTTAGTCATTAGGGAATAGCCACAATGGGATACCACTTCATGCGTTTTGGGATGGCTATAATTTAAAAACAGACAAAAACAAGTATTAGGATATGTTGACATTGGAAACCCCATACATTACTGGTGGGAATGTAAATGGAAAACTTCTCTGAAAAACAATCTGGAAAATCCTCAAAAGGTTAAACATAGAGTTATTCTAAGACCCAGCCTGTATTTATATTGAAAACCTATTCTATTCCTGTGTGTAACAATGTAAAGGGGTAAATATTACAGTATGGGAAGTATATTCACAAATAGCTCCTCCTGTGTGGTCTGTTACTGTACCAAATGCTTAGTACCATATGAACACAAAGGGATGTGAACCCTACCCTCTAGAGCTTCTTGTCTGTTAGGAGGATGAGGCATTGCAATGGTGGTAAGTACCATCAGGGAGAGATACGGGGGCCACTAAGACTATTAACAGGGATATTTGAACCTAGGTCAGGGACAGTTATCTTAAGGAGATGATTTTGCCTTGAGATCCGAAGGATGAATCCAAGTTATCAAGGCAAAAATGGCATTAGAAAAGAGGGATTACAGGAAGGGGTTGGGGGTGGGCAGCATGTGTAAAGACTCTGTCCAGAGAGTCACAGGGTGTTCAGGAAATGGAAGGAAGGTCAGCGTGGCTGAGACAAAGAAAATGATGGGGCCGAGAAGGTCCAGACCTGACTGCAAAACCTCATCAGTGTGTTACCACTTTGGAAGCTTTTCAGTCTGGGGAGACACGTTCTAATTTGTGTTTTGAAAACGTCACTGTAGCTGTGTCAGTTAGAAAAGGGGCAGGAGTGGAAGTGGGAGGGACCAGTGAAGAGTACTCATGGTCTAGGCAAGGACTGATAGAGCAACTTGCACCGGACGGTTGGCAGTGGAAACAAGGAAAAGGGGACACATCCAAAGCCTTTTTAGAAGATAAAATGGACACTATTTGGTGAAAGCCGAGATAGGGAAGCAAGGGACAGAGGTGTAAGGCATGGCTCCCAGCCACTGGACTTTGGAAAGTGAATGATTTGGAGGGCTATTTCTAAGCCAGAGATTTTCCTTCATGATACACTTTGTTATGAACAAGTTGAAGTAAAATGAATGGATTATTTTCTGTTGGCACGTACCTCTTCTTACCAAGGCAGTCATGTATACTACAGAATTAGGTGATTTGCTGATAGCAAATATTTGGGGAGAGTACAAATTTTGGAAAATTAGACAGTTTTTTTGATTTGCCAGATGAATCTTGCTCTGGAGTCTCTGTTGTCCTAGTCTGTCTCCTGTGTCTTCTTCTAATGTGTTTGGCCTTGCTGATCTTCGCCCAGTGCTGTAGGGATCATCTGTCATGTGAGTGTCTTCATTT